TTTTTTTATTTTGTTTTGTTTGGGGGTTGTTTTTTTTTTAAGATAAGGGTATTTGCTGATCCTAAGTTTAATTCTTCCAAGAAAAAACACAACTGCCTTTTACTCTGGAAATCATAACAATGGTAAACAACAACTCTACAGGTTCCATAATAGCAGGCAATGGGGTCACTCTTGTGGGAGAGGGATGTTTTAGTGACCTCTTGCCACTGAGCTAGTTAAATCACTGAACAATGGTTAGTGTTATAGGGCTTTACTTTGCAAAATCTAGCATTAGTGTCATAGCTTTCCATTAACCATGGGACTTAAGAGCACCAGCACTGAGAGGCCTATAAGGAAAGAATAAATAGGAGAAAAGCAATACATTAAAAAAAAACTAACTGTAACCTTTACAATGCATGCTGTAAGAACACATAGTTAAATCCATAAAAAAGGCTTTTACATATTTACTCTCACTTTCATTAGTACACATGGGCAGCTTCACATACTTCCATTTCTGAATTCAAAACTGACCAGACAATGTAACTTATTCAGAGAGTACTAACCAGACAATATTACTCATAAAGAACAACAGCACCAAAACTGCACATAACTTGCATTTCAAAGAGGTACAGGCCAGTAAACGAACTTGGAAGCACATCCTAATTAGCCAGATGAGTGTCAAGCAGTCAACACCTTATTATTTAATCATTAAGGGCCAGATACTGGAGTCTTTACTGAGTCAAAACGTCCAGTGAAGTTAATTTGCCAGAGTAAGAACTTGCGGGATCTAAACTAGTCTCCCCTTGGCCTCCCTAGACATGTTTTCATGAACAAGAGCGAGGACTGAGCAGAAGTAACCAGCCGAAGCACGGAAAATACAAAGTTGAGCGGTAACTCTTATCTAACCATCTCACAGCTGAGCACCAACCATTCTGGTGTGGCTACACGGAGACCCTTGTAAACAGGCAAAGAAGGCAGCAGTAAAACCCTTTTCACCCACCCATCAAGCCAGATCAGTGGACGGGAGGTGTTCCCCAGCCTTAGCGTTGAAAATCAGCCTAACCAGGAGACACTTTTACTATCTTGCTACTTTACAGTGTCGCTCCCGACATGAACAAAAATACATTGGCAGAGTGTGTGTATTAGCTCCCCATATGCTCCTCACTGCATCTCGGAGTGACCTCGATTTCTAGCCACGACTGAGCCGCGGCTTGGGACGCCCCCAAACAACCTATTGGGACCCTGATGGCACGACCCCAGCATAGGGTGTGTACCCCTTTCCGTTCACACCCAGCACACTGGAAAGCCGGGAGTGACCCCCAACACCTATTTGCAGCTAAACTCTGCAAGTGACTGGTTTGACTTGTTTTGTTTCTTTTTTACCTTTTCAATCACAGCATTTCCCTCGTCCCCAACTGGGCAATTAACCCACGCAGCTAGGGGCTGGCTCCAGAGCGGTGCGGTTCTCTGCTAGTCTTTAACCTCTCCAGGCGGGCTCGGCCCTGGGCGCGCATTTCAAGGCTTTGCGTTTTAGCACCTTCCTGAGGAGGGACTCCGAGATGGGGGATTTCGGCTCCTCCGCGCTCGGCCACCATTCAACAGGCGCGCTCCCACCCCGGCCCGAGAGGAGCCTCGCCCGCTTCCCTCCTTTTGCCATGAGCGTCTCCAGGGAGGCTTAGCTGCTCCAGCGCGTAGGGACAAGCAGGCAGAGCCGGGCTAGCGATTAGCGGGGTCCCAACAAGGAGGCGACCTCTGCGCGCCTCCGGCTCCATTTCACCCACTTGGTGCTAGCGCTGCCCCCGCAGAGATGGGGCCCCGTCCCCAACGCTGACCCTCTTCTCCACTTACCCGCTTCCTCTCCACCCTCTCTGCTCCCCACCTCGCAGGGCCCCCTGAGCCCCTTTTCTCCCCACCCCACAGAACCCCGTGCGCCCTTAAACTCTCCTTTTCTCTCCACCCCACAGGACTCCGTGCGCCCCTAAATTCCCTTTGCTCCCAACCTCGCAAGGTCCCGTGCGTCCCCGTCCCTTCTACCCGCACGGCCTCGTGCGCCCCTAAGCCCCTTTTGCTCCCCACTCACAGAGCCCCGTGCGCCCCTAAACTCGCCCTTCATCTCCACTTCTGCACCCTGCACACACACACACACACACACTTCCCAAGCCGCCTGCCCTCAATCCCACCAACGCGACCCTCTGTCCTCCTTCCACTGCTCTCCATAACCCTGGCGCACCCCAGCCTGCGGCCGCAGCCCCCGACGGGCGCTCTCCAACCAACCCCACAGCCGGGGCCTTGGAGGGGCGAAAAGGAAAGGAGCTGGTGCGCGGGGCGGTGAGCCAGTGCCCGGCGGAAGAGGGCGCAGGCACGGACCCAAGCCCTCCAGCGTGTTCCAGGGATGCTGCGCCGGGAGCGCAGAGGTCCCAGAGGGAGGGAGCGAGGGAAGCCCGCTGCGAGTGGGATGCGGCCATGCCAGGCCCCTGGCTCTGGTGGAAACCCTAGAGTGGCCAAGGGGTTTTGCTCAAGCTCAGGGCTCCCCTTGGCAGGGGAAAGGCGGCTACACCGAAACTCAGTGGGCTCTAGAGACACAGGGGTTAATTAGCCACCGCGGCTCACATAACACCTGAAGGGGATCTGCGTTTGTCCGCACAGCCCGGGGTAGGCACCGGGTTGCAAACTGGCTGGGCCGCATTCACTGGCGATCGGAGAGGACCCTTCTCTTTCCAGCCGGCCCCTCGCTTCGCGCGCGGCCGCCCAAGGCCTCTTCCTGAGGGAGCCGCGCAGCCCCCAGTGATCGCGTCTCAGCGAGGACAAACCAGCCGGAGCCCGCAGCCGCGGAGCCAACCTCAGGCGCGGCGGCGAAGAACCAGAACATCTCCCTCTGTTTTAGGAGAGGGCAAAAGACACCTGGGCCTCTCCGCGCATCCTACCGCGGGTGGGAATTAAAAACTCCCACCCCGCCCTTCCTCCAGTCTACTTCAACTTTCTGAAGCCAATACATACCAAATGGGGCAATCCGGAGGCGACACACTAAAATGTCACACCCATTCCATGCGCAGTGAAACCACAACTCACCAGTTGAAAGCATGAACTTTTGTTTTGGCCAACAATACAATTTGGCCTCGGTATCTCTCTTGCAATCTTTGCAAGCCACACACACTGAGGGGAGGGGGAGGATAAATGACTAACAAGCGGGCACAAAGTGAATAGGTAACGCGGGGAGTGCAATGAATTTATCCATCCTTAGCCTTACAAAAAAAATAAACCCAGCAACCCCAAACTACAACTTCATTTCTTTAGCTTTCACTTTAATAAAATAATGATTCGTTGGGAGAATGGGGTATAAATCTTCATTTTGGAGGCAATTAAAGTGTTGATTTCATTCGTGCCCCTGAGCGATTCTTGTAATTTGCTCAAATAGCTTTATGTACCCAGCACTCCAAGCTTTTAGAAACCCATTTTCTAGTTAGACTTGTTGGATTACAATTTTTATTCAACAGCAGCTATCCGAGTTTTCCTAATCTAAATCTGAATTTAACAGTTCCCTCATTTTAAACGTTATAATAGTTATGTAGGATGCAAGTCAACCAGACAGAAACAATGTCCATGTTTCCATCTTGTTTTCAACGTCTCATTAAAAAAGTTGAGAGCGACAGAGCGAGAGCGACAGAGAGAGAGAGCAGAGAGAGAGAGAGTCATGCTAACATTTAGAAATAGTTGAAAGCCTCTACATTCTCAAGATAATTAAAAAACACTGGGTTTCTTGCAAGTTCATGCCTTAAGTCAAACCATTCTTCTGTTCCACCACTACATTAATAACAGTCCGATAATCTTTGCTGCTTTCTCGTACATTAAAAAAAAACTGAGCTAATATCAAAGCTGAAGCGTAGTGCACCTTTTTGTAAGTAATCTATAAAGTAACTTCTGGTTGACAATATTCTTGATAATGGCAAAGCAGCTAAGAAAACTCCTGTCTGCTTGACTGCGCCTTGCTTTAACAAAAGGAAGCCTCCGGAATCAGCCTCATTACACCTAGAATCGTATCTAGAAACCAGATCGTAGTTTTAGTTGTTAGATTCCCTCCCCACCCCCACACCAAATACCATTTCTAATCATAAACAACCAACCATTAAAACCTTACAATTCATAACACGGAGCTCAAAACGCCAAGCTCATTCTCTTTAATATTTTAGAAGCTTGATTTGGCTTTAGGTAACCTCTTGAAATTAACCCAAGAGCTTCCATAAAAAACAACAACACTACAAGCCAGTGAAGGAAAGCAGCTAACACAAGTCGTCGCTAGACGCACACGTTAATGAGTGCAGAAGCCTCTAGGGTTTCGTCAATCCCAGCTTTAACACAGACATTCTACAAACCACCAAACTATTTTTTTCTAAAGGAGAAGGTTTGGGGGGGGGGGGACTTGAGAGATCAATGGAAATAAATTAAAACCTTGGTCCGGTTTTATTTTTCTATTAAATAAAATAAAACGGGCGCGTTTGCAGAAGGCAGGCTGTGCACAAAGCAATGTTCACTGAGGTCTAAAAGCGCCCGGCCAAGGAAAACTGACAAGACAGACTAATGAACCGTAGAGACAGGAGGAAAATAGCCAGTATTTGCTAGATTTCAAACACTCTCTGTCTTCCCTGGACCACCTATCTCGGATTTTATTATTATTTTTCTAAATGGCCTCAGCTATTCCTTTCTAAACATCCAGAAGCCTGCGATTCACGGCTAACGCGTCTATTATTATAAAGGGTAAATAAAATAAAGACAAAAATTAAAAGCGACAAGAAACAGGTCAAGTTTGCAGGCAATGCTTTTACAAGCTCATCTCGCCAGGTCGAATCCGGGAGCAAGCCTTAATGAAGCAATAATAGCCACATTATTCAAAAATTTTCATTTCGATGGAAATTTATCTAAAAGGGACTTAATCATATGCAAATAATAAAAGGAGGCGTAGTGACCCAGCAAGCGATCTGCATACAAATTTCAGCGTGTGCAACACTAGAGAGAGATCATCATACCTGATCTGTTAGATTTGCTGATCTTGTTATGTCTTCACTGTCTGATTTTGATCCTCCTTCTCTATCGTCTATCACCAAATCGATTGGCATTTTTCCTTTCAAACAGCTAATATACCGGTGGCAGAAATTGTCACATAATTCGTGTACCTATATTATAGCAGAGGTAAAAAAAATGAAAATATAATCAGGAGTGCATAAGTGAAATTGACAAGTACAATCAACCAACCCCCCCATCTCCAACCCAGTGACATCAAAAGTTCTAAATGGGGGGAACACACAGCAATTATCCCCCGGAGACCTCTAGACGCATCCAGAATTAGGAATAACTTTCTTTTCTCGCAAAATAGAGATATCCCAGAAAATTGACAGTGACAAGATGATTCACAGGCTACAACATATTCAACACCCGTGTTAAATTCATCTGCTCCCGGAGCTGTGGCCATGAGAGAGGTGACCTGCACGGGTGACATTTAAGGTAAACTATTTAATTTCAACCAGTTATTTCATCATAAACCCTTTCCAAATAATATGAAGGGGAAAAGAGATTTAAAAAAAATGTGGATGAACTATACTGAAATACATTATAGACATCCATGACCTTAAACACCAAATCATTGTAATATACTTGTTCTTGAGTTTCCCACTATTAATGGACATATTTTAACACCTTTCATGTAGAGTGAAAACAACCTGCCTGTTGTGGTTAGATAAAAAGGCGGGGGGTTCTAAAGAAACTTTTCAACCATTTAAAAACCTCTCGAAATGTTTATTTTTAGGAGAAGGGGGATTCTCTTGTAAGGCAGCTATCAATTACATATAAAAATCCACTGTAAGCCTGAAAGTGCGTTAGTTTGGAATTACGTCGATGTCCATATTATTATTAATTATTACCATTGTTATTGTGGCTGAGATTTCCAGAATGGGGGAAGGGGAAATTAAGGCTGTGTATTCTCTCTTTGCTTAGAGGTGTACAGCATTCACAGAATCAAGAAACGGACACGACTATCAACTCTGCTTTGTCTCTGCAAAATGTTACAGGACAATCTGTGCCCTGACTTTGACCTGCAGATGGCTTCTTAAAAAAAATCTCGACCAAAGTATAACTGAAACGAAACAAAGCACCTTCACCCCCAAAACAATCTCCGAAGCTGAGACAAATAAGCAAACAACATTTGAAAAATCACCTGGAATACACAGAACTAACTGTGTGTATACAAAGACAGGAAGGTATTCACATGAACGCAAGGCCAGGTCGTTTGTGAGCCCGGTTTTAGAGGCTGAAATTGTAATTAAACTGCGAAGAGAAATGGACGCTAAGATTGGTCTTGACACTAATTACCAGACAGAAAGACATTTATGCAAATTTACCAGAAGTCTGAACTTCAGCAATACTGAAACGTAGGAGAAAAAGAGAGAGAGAAAAAATTACCTTCTCTAATTCCAATAGATGAAACCTTAATACTTGTATGGCTTGAATCATCTGCAAAGACACAAACAATATGAACATCTATCTCATTCCTGAGTTTCGGTATACATCCACAGCTGCCCTGCTGTAGTCTATAGCTTCACTATTTTAGTAGTAGTAGTAGTAGTAGTAAATAAAAAAGTTGCTTTGATTTATGGCAATAACACTAAAACTTAATAGCAGTGGCTTTGTATGCTGTTTAACAAGAAGCAAGCTAGAGTTAACAAAAAATTCTATTGCAATGAAGCAGCTAAATTATACGGCTCATAAACATTTCCTTCCAAAAGTGCAATCTATTGCAACAACGTTGGATCCTCGCTTTGCAAACGAGGAGAGAATGTTCCAAATGCAGAGGCAAAGTATTTGTTTATCCTTTAAAAAAACTGGACTTCATTTTAGGTCGGCTAGTTAAACTATTAATCTCTATCCATGGTCGTTGTTTACATTTCCCGTAAAGCTAAGGTGCAGGGGATATGTGGAGCCCTCAAATACACTGACACATTCGTAGATAAATCCATGCACTGCTTAGGCAGCCAAGTCTGCCATAAAGACCCCAAACTCTCATTTGGATGGGGCGTTCTTTATGTACCTCGTTATGTGATTTTACTTAGCACGCAATTACCACACTGGATTACTGGTAATTAAAAAGATCCACGCGAGAAAATTCCCATTTAAAGCCAAAATCCTTGTCAGACCTTAGCCCCATCTCTCCAGAGGGCAGAGAAATAAAAAAGGGAGAGTTGTTAACTCTTACCAAGTTATCCAGTTCAGGATTAGAGGAAAATAGGGGTTTTTCTGCTCGGATCTAAATATAAGAAAGGGGAAGGGGAAAAAAAGACTTGAAATATGGAAACAGAGAAAGCAAACGTTATTATGTCTTGCTTCATTACACTGTAGGGTCCATTATGTAACCTTTCCTTCTAGCTCTGACTGTTAGATTTAGTACATCATATAAATACTTAAACAAATGAAACAAATGCACTGAAAATACCCACAGACCTTATTATTAGTTACATCTATCCGCTCCATCTTGCGTGAGCGGCACATCCCAACAATCAAACTTTTTTTTAAAAAGGGCATGCTTTCTTTCTTTCTTGAAATGGTACAATCGAGATCGTATTGATTGGTTTCTGGCAGTACAGGGGGGGGGGGGATGTTAAATGGAGACTTGTTTTCTTGTTACGTTACAGGGTTCTCCTCTCCCAGTATGGTTTTGCTGACCTGTTTGGCGAACACTGCTATGTCTTCATTGAAAGACTCTGAGGAGCAAACATCGCCTCCTGCTACCCCGGGCTCCCGGGGAGTGCACGTAGCTAATTCACATTTCTCAAAGATCAGTGCTAAAAGAGGGAACAGGGGGTGTCTGAAAGAAAATACAACAGTCACAAACAATAAACTGGTTAGTCCCAGAATAAGTGGGGGGAGAAACAACCAAGGTGATCTTTTAGCAAACCCACTGCCTCCACCCCAGCTGCACCCCTCCCCCAATCATAGCTCACCTACCCTTCAACCGAGAGACCTGAAGTCGAAGGCCCTGAGCCATGGACTGTATCTGATGATCGCTTCAGCATATCTGGCCAGAGAAATTGTTAACATTTGCTATGAATAAAACCAAAGCGGTTCCAGCAGCCATTTTGAATTAACTTTCCTTTCCATTTTTTTTTAAAATATTATTTTAGCTCCCCTTCGAGTGGGGAATTTTCTGGATTAAAAAACAAAACACCCCAAACAAACCCCAGGTCAGTGGAACGCGCAAATCCCCCTGTGCATCGGTAATGCTAAGGTTCAAAATGAGAGCTGCTAACTTCGAAGACCTGCCAAACTGCCAGTGAGTTGCCCCAATTCGGGTAGCACAAGCGCTCCATTTACATTCACTTCGGTGGACAGAGCACGCTTTTATCTGGGTCATCATTTCCCTCCCCCACTCCACCCTGAGTCGCTCAACCTACGCGCTATTCACCCCTCTTTTTGCTACAGAATATTGAACAATGAGACCGACCTTAGAAATGTGAGAGCCAAGTGCTTTGATTTTTTTGCTGTCTTAAGTAAACTCTGAAGAAGAAGTTTAAAGTAATTTACTAGCTATAAAAGCTCAACTGAAAATGTTATATTTCATTTTATTACGAAATGCATTCAGATTCCGGATTTCATAACTATCCCAGAGAATTCTCAATGTAGTTTGAACAAATCCTACAGATTTGTGATGAGATAAAGGAACTGGCTGGCGGGATGGTCTTGCGTCAAAGCGAGCTGTTCTCAGCGAGATGGGAGGGGGGGAAATCTTAAACTTCTCTTCAACTTAACATGCGCGAACTGTTTTTAAAGATATCCACGGAACAGTGGATCAGTTCCAAATGCAATGGCCTAGAACCTATTTTATAAGTTACCGTATGGAGATGCCTCGAATATTGCTAGAAAACAGGGCACAGCCCAAAAGAAACAACCCCGAAGTTTTCTCAGTAATACAGCGTTATACATTAGCAAAACTAAAAGTTTTCTTCGGAGTGGAACAGTTCAAAGTAGTCTTTCTTCTCAACTCTCCCAAAAGATTTACCTCCCAAAACAGGTTGGACCACGGAAATCTTTTTCTTTTGATCACCACACTAATAGACTAATTTTCCCTAAGCTCACAGTTTAGCAGCCCTTTATATTTAAAGTAGTTATCAAAACCGCATAGGAGCCTAGGTTTATGCAAGGAAATAGCTTTCCGTGTGTATGCACACACGCACACGCTCGCACACACACACACATTAGGCAAGTTATAGTATATGAACTGAATACTATCTAGGGATAACGTTTATCCGATTCAAGCCCTTTGGAAAGTAAATCTTCTTTATTGGAGACTCATATGCCGAACATAATGCGATGCAAAGAAAACTTTAAATCCACCCTAAAATTTGCATGCAATTACAATGGAATCCTGGGTCACAATAATTTACCTTCCGTGGCTTTTACTCTGCCTTCAGCGGCTAGGGAAATAAGGGAGCAATCATATCTTAACTAATAAACCCGATGCCAGCTGTACCTACCCATAAATGGCATCTTTATCTCTCTTTAAAGCGTCATTGACAGAGGAGCCCATGCTGGGAGGCATGGCGTTGGTGTGAGTAGTGTGCGGGTACTGATGAGAATGTAACGGAGGACCGTGATTGAGATGGTGAACAGGCTGCATGGATCTGGCGGCGTGAGGATCCCCATACATGGTGGTGGGGATCCCTACTCCATCCATCCCACCGTAATGGGGTAAATCGTCGTACTGCATGACAGACAAAGAAAAAAAAAAGGATCAGACGGCCAGTGGCACCCGGAGGTTCGAACGGGGAAAGCCGTTCCAGAATCTTTCACTTAGGGAAGGGTCAGCGCATGGAAATGGACAGTGTTCACTCTATGAATTTAAAATAAACAGGACCAAACAAGCGGGGAGGGGGAGAGTGCAGAGATCTGTAAAAATACAGTTCCCCAGTAGGCCCTCAAAATGGATTAATTCTGGGTCCTTGAAAAGCATCCTTGTGGAGGGAAGTAGGTAAAAGCAGCAGCGTAGGTGCTTTGGAGTGACGCTCAAAATAAACACGTTGCTGAAAAGTTGCCTACTTCAATATGTCGCCACAGCAGAAGTTAAAATGAGGACACCTATTATTAACACGTGAATTAATACAGGCTCCTGGTTTAAGGTATTTCTGTGTGTGTGTGTGTGTGTGTGTGTGTGTGTAAGTTTCTGCAGAGTGGAGCATTTCCTAATGTAACTCTCTTAAATTTCTGCAGAGTGGAGCATTTCCTAATGTGTAAACTGGAAATGAAACTCTCTTAAAACAAAAATGTAAAGCACCAGTTTAAATGAAAGAGCAAAGCTGAGAGCCTTTTTCTAATAACTGACGCGCAATCTGAAAATTTGCAATTCCCACATGGAGAAAAAAAGGAAAGTTAAAGTAGTTAATTAATTTTAAGATATCCTGTTTTAAATCTTTCTACCGTTAAAAAGGACAGTGCACAAATATCAATGATTAGATGTTATCCAAAGTTTAAGAACAAAGGAATCAATTTTTGTTTTACAGCTATTATATACAAACTACTTTAATGTCCATGTGTGCATTTGATGCTCAAAGTTTTAAATTTTAAATTGCAGCTATTATATACAAACTACTTTAATGTTCATATGTGCATTTGCTGCTCAAAGTTTTAAATTTTAAGTTTATTGTTTATTAAACATTAAGAACCCAAAGTTAAAGTAGTACTTAAGGATTAAGGGGAAACTGCCACTTTTAATCTGTTAAAAGCAAAAGTGTGAATACGTTTTAAAAAACACTGACAATTGCTTGAACTGAAAGAGTAAAGGCAAGTTTCAGCATAGCAACTTTCTTTTACAAAGTGTACAATGAGGGACAGTGCACAAATCATACAAGTAAACTTAATTTTATGTCTTTTTTTCTTTTAAAAACTCTATTCGTTACACTGTAATTGTCCCTCACAATATTTTAATCGCCTCTCAATTATCTGACAAGCCTAGAAAAAATTGTATTGTATCAAAATAGTAATAAATAATAAATATCTATGCATATTATTCTGCCTAATTAAAATTTAAACATGCAACTATTTTTTAAATAAAGATCTGACTTTGTTTAAATGCACTGCACGTGTGTGATGGCAAAAAGTTGTTTACTTTAAGTTTAATAAGTTGTCTTTGAAAAGTGAAGATATATGTAGCCACTAACACATGAAAATGTTCAAAGACACATTAGTTAAATATTTTAAACACTGGTGACTTTAAAACGACATTGCATTATAAGCAGTATATCTGTAGTACTGATAAATACATATATTTGTATTTTCAGTTACATGCATGTATGTCATTGCTGTATAGAAAGTTTGCCTCTTGAGTGAGATGTCTGCGAGAGGAACTGATAGAATCAAGAAATTGACAATATATGTAGGTTTTCAGTCTACAAGTAAGCTAATATATCCTCTCACTTCGGGACACCGCTTTGTGTCTGAGCCAAAGAAGAGGGGGAAAAAAACTTTTCGCAGCGTCTCTGTCAGCCACGTTTCAATATTATTTCACATTTTAATTCCATTTTTAATACGTACCCTTTGCGCCATCGGCCTGGCTTGCTCCCTTCCTACTTCAACTTCTAATATATCCTCTTTAAGGCCAGTGTGAAAAGAAACAAACGCAAACTCTCCCCCAAACCCCCAAAAATGCAAAAATCCCTTAGAGTCGCCAGCAATGTGAGCAATCGAGGAAAATCTTCAGCTTAGTGGATCTCAAAGAAGCGATACAATAATTCTGCATTAAAAAAAGGAGACTCTCCCTCCTTTTCTTTCTTTCTCTCTCTCACTCTCCCCCTTTCGTTTCCAAGACAGCAGCGGGGAGAAAGCAAATATCCTTTCTCCAAATCAGTTTTTTTTTGTTAAAAAAAGTGCCCCTCAAACCCAACTACCAAGTCCCATGGCTTTTTGCCACTCCAGCTGTCAATCAAAGGCGAGGTTGTCAAGGTGGTGAATGAATGATGATGATCCGCTGTGTGTACTTCCACTGCTCTGGACACCTCAAATGTTAATATTCAAATGCATGGAGGTCTAAGCGCTGGCTGGTTCTTGAATCAGTCCTAATTCCTAATCAGATCTCGCTCTCGAGCTCCCTTTCCCCCTTTGCAACGGTAGAGGCTAGAGGAAGAGGGTTAAAAATGTCTGTCTGAGTTTGTCTTAAAGGAGCCACGATCGATGCTGCCTGCTGCAAGTCCCCCGTGCGTGTGTAAAGTGTGTGTTGCACAGGCGGAGAGGTGGATTTGGACCAGAATGCTGGAACCCGGAAGTAGTGGTGGCCATAACAGGTCGCGTCTTACACAATGCACTGGGCTGCATCAACTCGGCTTCCAGCGCAGGGGTGGGTTGGGTGAGATGCAAAGCGAGAGGCTGTGCGGAGCCACAGAAGCGTTCAATTAACACACACATACACACACGCACACGCAGGGTTACAGTGACTAAAATAGATTGTAATTCTGGTGTGCGGCGGGACGATTAGCTATTTTAAGCGCTTTCTGTAAGTAGAGGGGGTGGGAGGTTGGTGTACGGGTGTGGGAAGCAGGATTGTTTCTTTCCCTTTTCACACCGAATGCTTCGGGGAATTCTGTGCAGCCCTTTGCAAAAAGATCTGCGATCGCTAACACGAGTTACAGGAAGAGGAGAGGAGAGGAGCAATGGTTGGAAGAGACGCATCCCTCCCTCCCACAGCTTTGCAAGTGTTCCAGCATGTCTAAGTGCTGGAGCAAAACAAGGAGACGATCCAGAGCATCTGCTTCTGGACACTGGCTGGTTTTTATTGCTAGTGGTTCTGTTCCTGAAGTCATTGGCAAGATAAAGGGCAGGAAGTCAGAACATAGGAGTGCTGCCTGATATTTATTCCCTCGCTCAGCTAATGTCATACACAACAATCTACGCCACTTTGCCTAGCCGCCTCCGAGTTTAATGGCCATTTCCTTTGTCTAATAGCATTGGTTAATTTGTATTTACACCCTCTCTGTGCGGCAGCGCGCTAAAAGGACTCGCGAGTCCCCCAATCGCAAGACTTGTATCCTTCACCGTCCCCCCGCCCCGCTCCCCAACAAACACAAGTCCTTTTCTTCAAACCCCCAGTAACGAAAGTAAATCTACTGGAGCGAAGTTGAGCTTTAGAACGCCAGGACCCAAACCCACTCCGGATCAGCCCGGCTGCTCTGCGAGAACTTATTCGGTGCCCACGTAGCTGTGAGCAGATGTTCCACACACACAGCAGTGGATTCAAATATGCAACATTTTTCAGAGCAGAGGTCCGTGAGACGGGGTTTCTCCCTCTCCCCCTCCCTTTCTCCCCCTCCCCCCAGCTCCAAGTCCCACGGAAAACTCCCCCTGCGGTAAATTGGAAAATGAACTCACCCAAATCTCAGTAGGCAGCAGTGGAGGAGTCACAGTCCAATCAGGAGCGTCTCTTGGAAAGCCAGCCGTGCATTGGTGGAGAGGAAAATCAATTATCAAATAATCGATCAGCAGGGCGCTTCGATCTGCGGGGCGTGCCAAAAAACTCTGCCTCCGAACAGAGAAGCTAAGTTCTCCAAAGCGGGGAGATCGCTCACTTATTCTGTGTAGCCGGAGTACGAGTGGCTGCCCAGAGGCAGACATAAACAAGCCCTGCAAGGGGATTAATAGACACCCCCTTCCCTTTACAGCTACGAGGGGTGGAGGGCTGTGAAGGGTATTTTAAAAGCTCTAGCTCTCTAAAAAGTTAGTGTGGCGTTATAGTCATGTCCACACGCCGTTACGGAGCTCGATCCGTGAACTCAGCAGGCTGACAGATTATTATATTGACACAGCAAAGCGCTCAGTGCCAGCGTTTACTGTTTACAATACACAAGGTTGTGAAATCGAGGCATCTTCGGTAGAGTTCCGTGCAGGCAGGGGTCCAAACACGTCATGTAAGGACCTTTTAGTGTTCTGGATAAGAAAGATCACTTTCTCCTGTGGCATCGCAACTGCAATTTTTGACTTGCCAGCAATACCTGAAATATTCAGAACGGTCACTAAAAAGTGGTCCCCCATTTGTGTCGGCCATATAATATTCCGATTCTTTGAATTTCTTGATTTAATTTTTAAAAGAACTATGTGCTTATGAACTATTATTGTGGTGGCAATGTGTTTGCTTTTGGGATGCTCAGGCAGTAGGTCTTAAAGCAGAGATAAATCACTTAAGATTTCTTCCAGGCCAAAGTCTTAAATGTAATGTTAACAGACATAATTCCCAACATCAACATAATCCCTGCCTGCTACATATATTTTGTCTTAAAGTATATTCTAGGGGGCAACAGATTTTAACTCTTTTTTTAAAAAAAAGCAAACTAAAATCCACGACTTTTCTCAGGCTGTAATTACAGCGATGATGCAAAATAAAAGTCTTTTTATAAAGGATTGCTATTGAGAGAGCTAGTATTCCCTAAAACACCCCCTTTCTCTGCAGGAGAGTGCAGTTGTTTCATATTATACCTGTGTAGTTATTCAAATGATATCCCGGCTAGGTGTTTCAAATTTGTCTCGGGAAGGAAAGATCTGTCATCGATTAGATCAGTGGAGTCGGGAGGAAAGTGCCAAATCAAACAATAAAATATTCACACATAAGACTCAAGGATGCTTAAATGAGCTGCATGGGGGGATTACTCCAGTAAAATCTATTAAACAGAAATTACTGTGAAATGCACTTGGGTAAAGCTGCTTTTTAGCAGCTTTGAGGGG